CCATCCATCCATCCATCCATCCATCCATCCATCCATCCATCCATCCATTTATATTTACCTGCCTCTTCCTTTTCTGCTCATGGGGGTCACTGGTGCCCATGTCCAGCTATCACTGTGCGAGAGGCGGGATACACCCTGGACAGGCCTCCAATCCATTACAGGGACACCTGGACAGGTTTCTAGTCCATCACAGGGACACATAGAGACAAACGAGACAAACAACAATTCACTCTCTCACTCACACCTAGAGACAATTTAGAGTTACCAATCAGTCTAACATGCATGATTTCGACCTGTGGGAGGGAACTGGAGTAACTGGAGAAAACGGAGAGAACATGCAAACTCCACCCAGAAATGTCCCCGACCTGGATTTGAAAGGGGGTAACCTGCTCTCTGAGAGGTGGCAGCTCTATCAGCTGCACCACCATGTTGCCCCCTTAAAGATTTCCCAGTTTTTGAAAAGGTAAAGTCCCATTCTAGCCTCTTTTAAAAAGCTGTGCACGTGTGTGCATGAAACTTGACAGTCTCCTCTGTACGACTGCTCCCTGAGATCCTGTCAAATACTGGTTTAGAGATGAGGCACAGCCCTGATGGACTCCAGCATTCACTGTGAGTGAGCTCAGTTTTGTGGCAAGAATGCAGACACAGCTTTTGCTTTGGTCAAACTGGGACTGAGTAACCTTTAATCCTCCAACACCCCCAACAGAATCCCACCGGGAGCACAGCTGCAAGACTTCTCCAGATCCACAAAACAGTTTGGAGAGCCAAACTTCCATGAACCCCTTAGCAATTCTGGTAGAATCCATTGTTCCACGATTAGGACGAAAGACTCACCGCTCCCAGTCTGCCATGCAACATCAAAGAGACTTGTCTATTATAACTTCATAACATGTTATGGACAGTTCACACTTAGCACAGAAGTCCATTAACAAAATGCTGCTCGAGTTCAGATCAAGGAGGCAGTTCCTCTTTATCCCACCCCACCAGGTAACTCTCTCTTTGCTTATGAGCATTAAATACCCTCAGGAGAAAAACAAACTTCAGATGACGCTCCTTCCAGGAGACAATCCAGAGTCTCTTGGAAGCCCTGGTAATCTTTGCTGTCTGGTCCATAAACACAAACAACAGCCAGAATGTTCGTCTTGCAGTTCCGAAAACTGTGAGGCAGCTTTATTACCATGGAGACCTCTCACTCTGAGGTGCTTAGCCTGGGGCTTCTCATATTCCCCACACCTTCCAGAAAGCTCTCTTCCTGGGCAGTTCCAGAATAGAAAAGAGTCCAGCCTCTCTCCAGGAGTAGGGGGTTCAGTGCCAAGCTGTGTGTAGAGGTGAGCCCAACCATATCTACTTGATGTTACTCAAACTCACCCACAAGCCATACTCCTGTCCTGCCACTGAGGTAACATTCCACATACCTAGAACCAGTTTGTGTTACCAGGAATCAACACGCCTAGGATCCCGTCCTCGCCCGTTACCTTTCTGGCATTGCCCCCAACTTTTAATAATGCATTCCCCACAGTCTTTTTTTTGGTGGCTTCCTGTTGCTTTTGTGGGCTCCAGGGTCAAAGGCTCGACCACCAGGAACCACCAAACCTAGTTCCAAGAGGATGTTTCAGTTTGTCAAACTTTCCTTTTGCATGTGGTCCTCTTTGATAATAAAGCACTTCAAATACATGTAGCTCTTAGTCTCAGTTTGAAAAACAATGGATATGTGACTATACTGATCACTTTTGAACTGTAACCTTTTTAAATGTGTTTAAGACGTTCCGCCTGCTCTTCCTCAACAGTTTTTTGCCATGGGATTGTCCAGTATGTTTATTATACCGTTGTCTGGAGACATCACGTTTCCCTCTGCTGTGATCTTCATTTCTGCTGCTATTGGTTTCTCCACGTTCACCAGCTGGTATGTTCAACCTTCTATCTTCATTGAGCTCAACATTTTTGTCCTGTTGTCAACATACTTGGTGTGGTTATCCACCTTATTTCAGCCTGGACAATTTATTTATCCACAAAGTTGCAAAATAAAGTCAAAATAAAACATGAATAAACCTACATTTCCTGGTGAATATAAATCCAGTCAGTATAAAAAAACAGGTTAATCTTAACCTTGTTGGATTTTGATCGGGTAAATGATCAGAGTTTTGCTTCATATGTTGCGTTTGTTCGTGCGTTTCAGTGGAGTTTCTGTGAACGTTCAGGATCTCACTCCATCATGTGCAGGCGCCCTCTACGGTGAGTCCTATGGTCAATAAATGTCTTGTTCTTTTTCTGGATAAGTCTCAAAGGTTCTCCTTTTTTGCACCAGGTTTTATGAACATGCTGGGCGCTTTAATGGGTAGGTAACCGATGTGAAACCAAGCTGAGAGTTTTTCAGTGGTAGCTCTGGGTTCTAATGGCTGCTGTGCTTTGAACAGGGCTGGTTCTGGTGTCGTTTTCTGGCTACCTGATAGAGGTCACCTTGTCGTGGGCCACAGTCTTCTCCCTCATCACTTTAGTAAACGCCACTGGTCTTGGGATCTTCCTCGCCTTTGGAGACGCTCAACGTGTCGACCAGCCAGATGACTGCCAAGTTATCGTGGTTTGACCTGGACTGGGCACAACCTTTCAATAATTTGTAGTCAGTAAATTAATAGCAACATTAATAAACTAAAATAAAGACTGTAAATAATGCACATAATGCTGTTCATGCTGGAGGGCACAGAACAGATGTGCTCAGCAATGTTTAAACTGTGTAAATATTTTCTGTTAAATCACCTATTTGCAACGACTGAACAGTGGTGCTTACAAGTTTGCAAACTGAAAACAATTCAGTTCAATAGAAAAAAAAGAATTGTCAAACATTTGTAAAGAAAAATAAATGGAAAAACATAAACAAATACAAATAATTGCTACGACTTATTTCACGGTTCACGGTGACTTTGCCATTTGCATCACACGTGGAACATGAGGTGGAACGAAATTGTGTACACAAGGTCTCAGTTACACCCAAAAAAAGCAAAAATATAAAGTATAAATGAAAATAAACAGTATACAAGGATCTGGGGATTTTAATTTTCATGTCGATGATCCAACAAACCATCCCGCTATGGACTTTCTTAATATTGTGGACTCTTAACTTCTCACAGCGTGTGTCTGAGCCTACTCACACTGCAGGCCACACTTTAGACCTGGTTTTATTTATGGACTCGCTCTTGATAATCCAGATATAAAAGATGTTGTTTTCAGTGACCATAAGGTTGTCTCTTTTAATATTTCCTGTTATTTGTAGACTTTTTCTCAGGTTACCAATAAGCGCAGACACTTTATTGACAATTTTGTAGTTGCAGAGTTTTCTTCCCTCTTTTCATTTACAACACCTCCTGATGATGATGATGATGTGGAGCTTCTGGTTGACTCTTTCAATGATCACTGCCTTACAATTCTTGACAGTATTGCTCTTTAAAAAACCCGCTGTGGGCCCGTTTACCGCTGTTCACCTTGGTTAAACAATCAAACTCGAGAACTCAGGCACTCTTGTCGGAAAAAAGAACGCTTGTGGAAGAGGACTGGTCTGGTTGCCCACTGGGAATATTTTAAGGAGCTCCTTGGTGCTTATAACAAGGATTAACATACACATCGATTCGTGGTGACGTCATTACGCTGCCGTTACGCCATCGCGTCGCGTGAGCCGCACCGGGCGCGGGTTACAAAATGGATTCCTCCAAGCAGACGGATGGAGCAGAGCAGAACTGTTCTGGTTCTGCTTGTTAGCAGAACCAGAAGCAGAACCAGGCATTAACCTGAGATCTGTCTACCAGTCAACCATCACACCGCAGAGTGGTAAATCCCAACTGACTCCCATATGGACCCTCGTCCCTCATAGATGACAGGTGAACTTTGAGGAAAAATCAGCCTCTCAGTTGACTGGAATATCTGAGGTTGGTACCATTTTAAGCAGCTGTCGAAACCATTCGGACCTCTACATCCTGGTAGGAGACAGACTTTTCAATACCTTTCTGGTGACCCTACATCACAACTTATTAGACAAACTATCGCTCACCTTAGACAATTTTAATTATCTCACAAACAGAAACCAGTCCAAAATCTGCCTTTTAAGTTTCACTCATTTGAATAATCAATTAGACCTTTGATGCAAAGCTATTTGATGTTCAGTTAACTTTTGTCATGCATAATCTTCATCATATATATATATATCACAGATTATTATTTTTATAATAAAATACATAGACCAACTGAACTTGTGATTATGTTGGCATATCGGTGTATTAATTGATTTGATGCCCTTTAAACATGAGAAAAGAACTCACGTTGCAGTTTACATTAATTTGGGGTTAAATAGAGACTGATTTTCCTCTTCAAGGGAGAGGTGGTGCCCACACAACGAGGTTATTTGCATAATACATGCATATCTTATGAGCTTAACTCATAACTGATCATTTACAATATATATCCACCTCCACATAGCTCTACAATATGATGTATTAAACAGCAGCCTGAACATGAGTCTGTTGTGAGCAGATGGGTATAAATACAGCAGCTTAAAGGCAAGAAATGAGCAGCACAGATAAAGCACAGATAATCTCCATTTAAAGTATCATTGCAATGATTCTCCTGGTTAGAGATTCATGAGTCTAACAGCCTCAGGGTAGAAGCTGTTCCTCAGTCTAGTGGTTCTACACTTAATGCTCCACAACCTCCTTCCTGAGGGGAGCGTGGCAAAAAGTGTGTGTGCTGGGTGAGTGGAGTCGTTTGTGATGCAGGTGGCCCTCTTCCTGCATCTGGAGGTGTAGATGTCTGTGATGGTGGGGAGGCTGACTCCAACATCTTCTGTGCAGCCTTCACCACTCTCTGCAAAGCTTTTCTTTCCACAGCTGTGCAGCCTCCATGCCACACGTTGATGCTGGAGCACAGGATGCTCTCCACTGCACACCTGTAGAAGGAGGTGAGGACTGAGCTTCACAGACCAGCTCGTCTCAGCCGCCTGAGGAAGTAGAGTCTCTGATGAGCTTTCTTGATCAGGCTGGTGGTGTTGTTGCTCCAGCTGAGGTTGTCATTCTGGTGCACACCCAAGTACTTGTAGGTGGAGACCACTTCTACTGGGGTGGGGGTGGGGGGGTGGGGGGTTGTCCCTTTTGAAATCCACAATAATCTCCTTCATCTATATATTTAGATTGCCGGACATGGGCACTGGCGATCCCCGTGATCCAAAATGGAGGATAGAGGGAGAAAAAGGAAGATCAAAATGAGAAGTCCTTCATAAAATCTTTGTTGTCACTAGGAGGTGGAGAGCAGTCGTACCCCCTCTGAACTTGAATAAAACACAAGATGTGACCCTGTTGGAGCCTGGAGCAGGAAGACCACAACGCCATGTTTGGTTCATGTGCAGTCAAAATAAAGTCAGTATCATGATTTACTGTACGGAAACTTACAAGACACAAAGAAAAATAAAAGCTGAGTGTTTAATTTTCAACACAGCAAAGATTTACAATTAAGTCTTGATGTTTTCTTCAGCTTCCAGCAGAAGTCAAGAGCACAGTAAAGTTCATTTTTGTGTCTATCTGCCTCAGATTTAGCAGATGGAAACGAAGGCTTATTATCCAAAGAAATAATAGCAGCATATAACTGACTTGGAAAAACAATGTTTTTGTTGATTTTAAGAGAATAATACTCCATTACCCTCATATATACTGAGGGAACGGCTGTGATTCTGGAGCTGGGTCAAAGGGAGGCCTAGACATCTCTCCCCAGCCCCTTTTTCTAGCTCTTCTGAGGACTCAAAGGCATTTCCAGGCCAGCCGAGAGACGTATAGTAAGCTTTGTTGTCATTGATAAGTTCAACTCCACTCGGCTCTCGTCTTATCGGTTCTTCTCAGGTGGAGGTCACTGCCACTGTAACTTGCTTCCCCACTCTGCGTGCAGGATAATCAATGCAAAGTGGGCGACATCGCAACAGGTTGTTGTGTTTGAGCCACTCCACCAGTTGTGGTCCTTAATCACCATATAATCAGACTTCAGAATATTTAGCTTACCTTGACACTGATTATGTCTGGTTGTAGCCATGTTGCATCATCATCTCTGATATCTCTCTGTAAATGCATGCCATTTCTTGTGGCGCCGCCTGTCAACATGATGAGGAAGTGGAGGTTCAGTTTGCAGTTTCACTGGGCGGGTCATCAGTGACGTAGCTCCCGTTGGCCAGTCAACAGCTGCTCTCTGCTTACGTCAAAATTGGCCCCTTGGAGCAGCCTGCTTGGAACCTCAAACAAGATGGTCCCACAAACCAAGCTGTGTGGGGGTGGGTACTGGCAGTGGGCAGGCTCTTAACTGGTGCGGTGTGGAACTGATGAGTGTTGACACTGTGGCAAAGCGCCAACTTTCTCTCCGAGTCCAGCATGTCCTGGGTCTTCCCCGAGGTCTCCTCCCAGTCGGACATGCCCTAAATCTTGAAGGTGTCGTCCATGGAGTATCCTTACCAGATGCCTGAACCACCTCAACTGGCTGCTTTTGACGTGGAGGAGCAGAGGTTCTACTCTGACTCTCTCCCTCAACTGAACTTCTGATCCTATCTCTAAGGGAGAAGTCTCCTGACTCAGCTTCCTCCATGGAAGACCTAGAGAGGGAGAAGGTCCGAGAAGTATTCCTTCCACCTCCCGATGACTGGTTCAGGTCAGCAACACCCCACCTTCATTGAACAAGGTGTTAGTAAATTGCTGCTTCCTCACCTGATGGTTTGCCAGAACGTTCTTGGAGCTGATCCGAGTCTTTATCCAAGGCCTCACCCAACTCCTCCCACATCTAAGATTTTGCCTCAGCAACAGCAAAGGCTGAGGCCCACTTGGCTTGACCATCTCTACTGCCGCCGGCATCCTACCTGACAACACTTGACAGGACTCTCTTCTTCAGCTTGACAGCTACCCTAACCTGGGGTGTCCATCACCGAGTTTGAGAATAGCCACCGCAAGAAGCACCAACAAACTTGTGGCCACAGCTCAAGGCAGCCACCTAAACAATTGAGGCACGGAACATGGCCCACTTGGACTCAATGTCCCCGCCTCAGCTGGGACGTGGTTAAAGTTCCCTCTGAGGTATGAGTTGAAGATCTTTCTGATGGGTTCTTCTGTCAGCAAACCCGCACTACATGTTTGGATCGAATGGTTCTGTCCAGTATCTTTGCGCATCATCCGATCCAACTCACTACTAGGTGGTGATCAGTTGAAAGCCAGAGCATCCAAAACATATGGCTGCAGATCATCTGACGACTACAAAAGATGATGGACAAAAGAAAACAATGTCCCTTGCCCGGATGTGGGTTACCACCCTGGAGCCAGGCCTGGGGGAGGGGCTTGTCGGCGAGCGCCTGGTGACCGGGTTTCTACCAATGGGGCCTGGTCGGGCTCAGCCTAAAGCAGCAGCATGGGTTTGCCTTCCTGTGGGCCCATCACCTGCAGGAGGGGCCATACAAAATAGGTGCATGATGCCATGGGCAGTGGCCGAAGGTGGGGGCCTTGGTGCTCTGACCCTGGCTTACCAAAACGGGCTCGATATTGGATATGTAAAATCTAAAATATGAATATATAAATAAAACTACAGCACTTAATCCTGCTTCAAATTAAGTTTTATAACTGCTTCATAATTATACTTTATAAAATGTTTGTAAACTCATGAATAACATTAATAAAGCATCAATAACCAGTTTATATAGCATTAATAATCTACCGGTATTACTAAAGCACAAATATCTTAATATTAAAGCATTAATAACCACTTATAAAGTCAAGTCAGATTTATTTATAAAGCATTAATGTTTATGTTTTATAAACTAGTTATTCATGAGCTTTTATAAATGGGTCTGTTCTGAAAGCATTGAAAACACGAAGTTTTCAAATCTGTTGTTTTTATACTAATTAGAACCATAATTAAAGCTCTACAGTTCAGATATTTACATTTCTTTATACATACATTTATTTGGGGTGGCTGTGGCCGAGTGGTTAGAGCAGTCGTCCTCCAATGCGAAAGTTGGGGGTTCGAATCCACCAACAGTCACATGCTGAAGTGTCCCTGGGCAAGACACTGAACCCCTCACTGCCTGATGTGTGTCCCATCAGTGAATGAATGTGATAAAGCACTGATTAGTCTCTTTAGAATGATTTGTTCAATTAACTTTTGTATAGATCTAGTATAGAGCTGTATGAATGGGTCAATGAGGCACAGATTGTAAAGAGCTGTGAGTATCTTGAAATAAAGATAGAAAGGAGCTATATAAGTACAGTCCATTTACACCGTAGTCAAACACAAGAGTTCCTCTGACTTTAAATCTCATTAAACTTTTATTTAGCTGTGTTGAATAAATCCCAAATAATCTGAAGGGTGGGAATTTTATGACCATGTCTTCAAAGTCACAAGTTTACATACACTAACTTTGAACCATTTGGGAAGGACCAGATGATGTCACAGAGCTAGACGCTTTTGATGAAGGCTCATGTAACGATTAAAGAGCATGATACGTCCTGCCATCGTCAGGACAGAGACGTCCTTCCATGGTCAGGAAGGGGACGTCCCGCCATCATCAGGACAGACGGTTCAGTGTTCCTGAGGTCTCAGGTCATGTTTTGGTGCATCAACTCCAGAACAAAAAAAGTTAAGAGCGTATGAAGATGCTCTGAAGCTGCTCACTCGCAGAGAAATAAGATCCGGACCGACAGACCACTCAGAGATGAAACAACGACATTAATGTCCTGTCCAGAGGACCAGATAGAACTTTTTTGGATTTTTCTACCTGGATTATTGAGCATGCATCAGGATATTGATGTCCTGACTTTCAGAGACGTCCTGAGGTTTGATGACTGTTGTTACATTTGGAGGAAGATGGAGAAGCTTGCACCGTCCTAATGGTGAAGTACGGGGGTGGCAGCATCATACTGTGTGGGTGTTACTGCTGCATTTCACAAAATAAACGGAATCACGAGGAAAGGAACATCTCAAGACATCAGCCATGAAGCTAAAACTCGGGAACAAATCTTGACAGATTATTCAGATTAAGGACAACAAAGTCAGAGTTTGTGACAAAGAGCTGATCTCAGACCAGCAGACAAATGGACCCAGTTCCAGCAGTGGTCCAGTGTAAAGGTGGTTTGTGTCGCCGAGTCTCGTTTGTTTCCTGAATGTTTCCAACAACAAAAACACAACAACGTAGAAGTATATGTTTAATAACGATCAAATCTAAGAACGTGACCTCTGATACATACATCTTTAATCCAAGGGTGACGTCAGTTTTTTGCATAAATTTTCTATATTCCATTATTTTACAGCAGAACTCGCTCACTTCCCGTCACTCTGGCACACGCACAATACAGCAAGCTTTAATTTATTAAATCACAAACACTGACCACAGAAGCTCGTCTTGAGTTCTCGTACAATAAATCCGTTAACGCTAGATGAACGTTTTCTCACTGTTGGAACGTTAAAGCTTACATTTTGTGAGGCTGGAGTGGAAATGAATGACGACGATGTTAAAAATAAGAACTAGGCGGCGGGTCTGGATGTAGAAGATGTTACATAATCTCTCAGGAAATTAAAGATGAAAATTATGATAAAACTCAAAAATAACTAAGTGGCAGGTCTAGATGTAGAAGTAGATGTTACATCGTCTCCCAGGAAATTAAAGATGAAAATTATGATAAAACCAAACTAGTTCAGCAGATTTGATCAACCTTTCTTTAAATAGGAGGGAAACACCTACTTCTTTATCCTGAACGTGTCACTGACTTGTTTGAGGTGCAGGATTTCATTTAAAGGGACAGTTCAGTCATTTAAGGGTGTTGGAATTAAAATCCTCGTAGCTGCAGATCGTTCTTTGACCGACCTCAGTTTGGAGAAAGTTAAAACTCAGACAGCACTGATGAGATAAAGCAGACATGGGATTAGGCAACATGTGGCCCCAGGCCCAAAGAAGGCCCTCGGACAATCTCTACCCGGCCTCTCGTTATCTTTAATTGAAAAAAACAACAACTTTTAAACAGGTTGATAAAACTTACATTCTATCAAAGAAACTTAAGGAAGTCTAAATTCAAAATCAAAATCTTTTGATTATTATTGGATTATTCATATTCCTAAAGAGGGAGACTTTTTTTTAGTTTTTTTTAAATCAAGCATGCTAATCATGCTGCATCATGACGAAGCCTGAAAAATACTAACATCATCTGTATTAAAGAAAATTCATCTTCCAGTTCTCTGTGTGGCCCTTCCATTTCTTTAAATGTCCTGATCTGGCCCCGTTAAAAAAAAAAAAGTGCGCCCGCCTGACATGCGAGTCTGAAAACAGCGAGTCAGCAGTGGTTTTAGTCGTTCATTCAGTTTACATGAAACTTTTAAAGGGTTAATTTTTCATGACTTTATTTACAGTTTTGTGGTTATTTATCACCACAAACAGTGGTAGCAGCAGCGCGCTGTAGCACTTCTGATTAATTCCAATGGGAATATTATTTCTGTTGGAATACAAAACTGTTAGCTAGCCATTAGCTCATCTAATCTGACTGGTCAGATTTCGACAAACTGAGGTTAGTCAAGAAGTTATCTGCAGCAGGTGAGACGTTGACTGCTCAGTTTCTACACATAACCTCACTTCAATAAGGAGGTGACTGCTTAAATATTATACTTCAATCAGAGGCCAAAAATCCATTCAGTCACTTTTAATTACTGGGTTGTTGATGTTGGTCTCGAGCACAGGACACCTGGACAGGTCTCCAGCAGAGGACACCTGGACAGGTCTCCAGCAGAGGACACCTGGACAGGTCCCCAGCAGAGGACACCTGGAC